ATTCAGAAAAAAGTCACCTTAGAATTCAGAATGTGGCATCGCATATTATTTTTGACCGGGCTTACATAATCAGACACTGCCAACGACAACACCCTTTACGTCGTGTGCTTAAGATTACATTGGGCAGTCAGCTACCAGGTTGGTCAAGCCAAGATGCAGCCATAAGAAGGACTCGCATAAGAGAGTAAGTAGTCCTCCCTCCGCCTTTCTGGCATGACCACACTGGAGCAATACGTTTTTCCCGTTGTGTCAAAATTTACGTCTTGCTGTCCGTTTCTCGGCTTGTTGCACCGAAACAACGTGAAATAAATTCCTTGCGAACTATCGATTGACTGAGTGGATGGCTCATAACTGCTGTCCATTGAGGCTTCATGTTTGCAGGCACGTCCGCAGATTGTTGCGCGGTATGCGGTCATGGGCTTTATCGACGTCCACAAAGCACGTATAATCCGGATGAGCGAACATTCACGATTTCTCAACAGTATGGCGTAAAGTCAAGATCGAATCAGAGGTGTGTCATATTGACTTGAAGCCACACTGGTATTCTTGCATCGTGAACTTCCTCTCTAACATCTTTGCATTGACTTTTCCCAGGAGGCTCAGTACGGTAATGCCCTGATAACTGGGGCAATCTCGATTGTCTCTCTTCTTCAATGGGAACTTCTTGAACTTCACACTTTTTCTACAACGCATGATTTCCAGTCCACTGTTGTACTGTCTGCAACTATAGCAGTTTGACAAGTGTTAGCCACAACATGCCTCGTTCGCCTAATTCTTTAAGCATTTCATGGCGGAGGTCACTGATTATGGCAGCCTTGTCAGGTATGCCTTTTTACAGGTTCTGAGACTTCAGCTACTGCATGGCTAATATACATTGCCTGCTGCTCTTCAGGCGTATCGTCCCGCGACTGCTCATCAAAGTACTCTCTCCGTTGCCAAGTACATCCTCATCGCTGGTAAGATGTCGGCCGAACTTGTCCTTCGTGAATGGTAGAATGCCTTGCTTTCCATCGCGGAATGGCAGAGGATCTGCCAGAACACATTGTTTGCTATATGGAAATTCGACTTGAGTATCTCTCCGACCTCTTTCCATGAATCAGCTTTGATTTGGACACTTTTGCGTTGCGCTTTTTCGTACCTCATTCGACTTGAAGGCTCTGTGCTTCCGAGCCACCTCCTGAATTCAGTCTTTTCGCTGACAACCACTTGAACCTTCGAAGTTCACCAGGAAAGTTGCTGACCACCGGGCGGGAAGGCTGGAGTAAACCTTGTTTCTGTACTAAACAGCAATATTCTGCAGCAAACCGACAGAAACCGTTCTTAAAGCACATCTAATTGATTTCCAAATCACGTCATCATTGAGATCTATTCAAACCGTTGAGTGAGGTCGGTTCCACATTTTACTCTCGTAAGCGCAAAAGGCAACGCCTCATGTTTGATTCTTTGGTTGCTTCTGTAGCGATTGTGCTTCAAGTTTGCAGAGGAGGGTGTCAGCAATAAGGTTATGATCGGCAGATAGCTCTGCCCCTGAACATCCATCATAGAGTGTCGTAAGTAAGATGATATGATTATCAAATCGACTATCGAAATCGAAGCTTCTGTGCCCAAAACTTCCTCACACGAGGTATACTAATGTATGAATCGAAGCTCGAAGAAGAGGTTCGTATCAAAGAGTTAGTTGAGTACACAAGCCAACAAGTTCATGTCGTAATTATTGCGGCCGTTCTTTCAAATCAGGCCATTCAGCTGCGCTGAAAAGTGCACTGAAATCCCCTATTGCAATAGTGGATTCTGTAGTCGGCACTTCGTACAGAGTATCTTCTACTTCCTCCAGGAAAAACTACAGAATACTTCCTCTAAATTGGGCGCATAGACCTGTAACAAGGTCAACGCTTTGGCCTGTTGTAGCTTCAGTCGGAAGATTACCACCGTTACGTAGCAGGCTTCCAATCAATGATTCTGTCTTAAAGTTTGGTTTTACCAGAACACAACTACGGCAACAGCTCATGCCGCTGCATCGACACGTCAGTAGCATAACTTCGACCGGCAAAGGATTAGAATTCCAAAGAGCTGACGCTTCTTTGGCGAGAGTCCAACTCTGCCGAGTTGTTACCTTACGGCCTCATCAACTAGCTCGTGCTCTTTCTTTCCTTCTGAATGAGGGGATGTTTCATTTGTCGACCCTCATCTCTCAGCATCAGTAACTTTCGCGTGGAATCTTATCAAACGCGTTCTGGGGCATTGCACTGTTTGCCTACTTCATTCAGGACGAATGGCTGCTCCATTCCTGACTGGTATCCTGACCGTTTTTTGTCAAATTTCATCAGTCTTCGTCATGCTTTTATGCCCCCCCCCCAGTTTCCAAAAAGCGAGAAGCAGGCTATTTTGACCGTGCAACTTTTGGTGCCTGCATCATTGCTACAACGAGCATTGGAATCGCTAATCAAAGTGATGAATTCGCCGATCGGCATTTCATACAGATCATCTTCCACTTTGTCCAAATTTGGTGCGTAAACGTGTAATAAAGTCAAATTTTCACGTTGTTGTAACCTCGGTCGGAAGATAGCCACTCTTCCGCTGACTTACTTTCATTCATTGATTCTGCCAACCAAGTTTGATTCAGCCAAAACATCAAAAACGGCGTGAGGGCGATTTACGGAGTCCGACGGTTGAGTAAAATATCATACCTCCGCTCCGCAGAGGCCCA